ACTAGGGTGCTAACAAGGACTAGAGAGAACAAAGACAATCTTAGCATAAACTTGATATAACAACCACTGGCCTAAAGACAGAGAAAGAACTGGCAGGGGAGTGACTGGTGAACAGTGTATAAGTAGGAGGAGACTAATGAGGTGCAGCTGGTGAGTAATCAGGGAAGCGGGGCAGGTGTGTTGAATAGTGTAATCAGTGCAAGGGCTAGGCTAGTGTGAGAAAAAGAAGAGAGGAAGGTGGAGCTGGGCAAACCTGACACAACCTTTCTGTGGATAATCATTTTCCCATCCTCTAATGCCACCAACGGAACATTGTTTCCCTTTATACATGAGAAATATCACAATCTAATCACCAAGGAGACGTCCTGATGCCGTTCCCATTTGCCTTTAGTGAGTCTGAACATTTCTCTCCCTCACCTCTGTGTCTGTGCAGCGTTCATGCCTGGCCCAGTGTTATATGGCAGCGTCATTGACACCACCTGCATCCTGTGGGGCAAAAAGTGCGGCAAACAGACTTCCTGTCACTACTACAACCTGGACCGCTTCAGAGAGAGGTGAGACACTCTGAGATGGAGGAACACTCCAACCCAGCTCCAGTTAGAGGGAGCGGAGTGGTGTACAGGGAAGAGATACACATTCGTTTTCTGACAAACTGGAAAGGAAGTACATTCAGATAAGATGAACCTTTATTAGTCCCACAACAGGGAAATTCACAAAGCTACAGAAACAGACACTCAGTGCTATGACTAGAAAAATAACAGACAAGGTATTATCAATATAAATATAAGAAGAAGAAGTAAAACAATATTACACACTGGTATGCTGAGTATTTACAGTTTTTCAGTCTGTAGGTGTGGGAGTCCTTCAGCAGGGATGTCAGCTTGGCCAACATCCTCCTGTCTCCCACCACCTCTGCATTTAAGCTGGCATAAAGTTCAACCCTGTTTTGTTTGCTAGATGCTCTTTCTCCTGGGTGAGAACAGAGACAGAACAGGCAGCTGAGCTGTTCAGTTCTGGTGGTCCACACACTCCCAGCTGAGTTGCACATTCGTGCTGTGTAAAATGTAGCTGTCAGCACAAAAGCATGCTGTTTTTAAATGTGCTGTCAGAGTGATTATTTCACAGCAGCATCGTGTGGTTTTCACACTGGAAAAGTCTGTGTGGGTTCTCTCCAGTTACTCCGGCTTCCTCCCACAGTCCAAAGACATGTAGCTTAGGTTGACTGGTGACTAACTTGCCTGTAGGAGTGAGTGTGAGTGTGTGTGGTTGTTTATCTACCTGTCAGCCCTGTGACAGACTGGTAATCTGTCCAGAGTGGACCCCGCCTCTCACCCAGTGTCAGCTGGGATTGGCTGCAGCTCCCCACGACTCTGTTCAGGAATAAGTGGTGTAGTGAATGGATGGATATTTGGATAGATGGAAGTCTGGAATACGCACAAAGTCCACAATCACCTATGTGTGTGTATATATCCAGGTTCCTGGGTCTGCAGGTGGTCTTTGTGCTGCTTTGCTTCCTGCTGCCCATCGTGGTCCTGCGCAAGATGGCTAGACATCAGGAACAACAGCCGGAGAGTAAAGGGGGGTACAAGCTGGTGAGCAAGGAGAAACCACCAGAGAACACTTCTTCCAAAGAACAGGAAATGGAAGGCATCAAAACCTGAGGAAGCGAAGTGAGAGGATGCAGGGTAAGAATGAGGCAGAGGCTGAACAAGGAGATTAAGCAAAGAGGAAGAGAAAGTTTTCTAAGATGGTCAAACAGAAAGGTGCTGCTCTGTCAACACTCAGTGTGTCCAGCGTTTCTCCTGACTGTCTGGTAAAGCACCAGCCTGCACGATGAGACTACAATATGCTTCAATACTGTGTTTTTTGCTGAGCCATATATTGTCACATATATAAATGAAATGTTTTTATATGACCCCAAACAGCCGGCTCCATTTTTAAAATGGTGCCTGTGCTGCTGATGTTTGCAGTTCCTACTAGATGCTGCTCAAGGAAAACTGACTGTACCGTTGTACTTAAGTAAATGTGAGAACTCCCAACTTATATCTGCAAATTCAGAGTCGGTTACTGTGATCTTTGATGCTGAGTTCAACCATTCAGATTACTTGTGCTGTGCTGCAGCATGGCTCCAGGAAGGTCAGCGTCAGTCTGACGGTCCACCAGAGTGAAATATCTCAACAACTATTGGATAGAGTCTCATGAAAGGTGTTTCAGACGTTTATGGTCCCAGAGGATGCAACCGGCCAGACTGGTGCTACTAGGACATGGACATTATGTAATTAAGTGATATGTTTGACAGCTGCTGAATGGATCACTTTGTTCTAAGACATTCAAGCTCCTCAGATATCTACCAAACCATCGACCTCAGCTGGGTTTGGTGTTATCTACCATGCTAAACTAAGATGGTAAACAGCATGCTGACATTGTCACCGTGATGATGCCAGCAGGCTGCAGCATAGTGTTTAAGAATTTACTGTATCTTCCAGAAATTGTATTTGAAATGTTTTACACACCTGACCCTGTTTTTTGTGACTTAGCCTGCAGTGATTGTAAATTTTTATCATTTTATTCATGAGTGTTTTTACTCTGAAAATCACATATTTCAAGTAAAGAAAATGTTTCTAAATATTTTAAAAAGATATTATTTCACATGACCTTGTTGATGATGGTTTTATACTGACTGGCCTTAAAATACAAATGCTGATCATCATCAGATTCAAAGACTAAATTAAGGAGGTTCCAGTGCAGTGGAAGACTATAGGTATTTCAGCCAAGTTCTCATTGATACTGATGTCAGTTTGTGAACTATATATGTTGGGGGCATCATCATTTTGCTTACAATCACTACCAAACTGTGTAGACCTTTCTTGGGAATATTCTAATTCACAGTTAAACACCAGGATATCATGAGGAACTTTTTCAGGAAATTAGCCTGAAAATAGAGGAGCCATGAAATAAAGTGCTACCAAAATGTCCACTGTTGTGTAGCTGTTGGAAATCTTATATCTGGTTGTATATTTTTGGTTAACATCTTGTCCAATGAATCACAGAGTTGAGATGGAAATTTGGAATTTTATAGAGCGGCTTCTGAAAGTATTGAGACTCCATCACTTGTCAGATAAAGCTGACATTTTGCCCATCGTCTACACTCATTCACCCATAATAGTGAAAACATGCTTAAGAATTCCTCGCAAATGTATTAACAGTCAAAATCGTCTTCAGAGCCTGTGCTGTGGCTCCAGACTGAGCTTGGCTGCATCCTGTGTGAGACGTGTCCAGACCGTGACCAGAGTCCATCTGTGGCAACCTGATCTGGTTGGAGAAGACAACACATGCCTGTGTTTAAAAGGTCCTACAGTTCACACTGCGGGTCAGGACAAGTAGACCTTCGTGATAGTTGTGCAGAGTGATGGGCTATTATCTACAGCACAAATTGTGCAAACACTGAGGGGGCCTGAATACTTTCTGACGCCACTGTAGCTGCGAAGTTGCTCCACTAAACTGAAGAATCTCCAACAGTTAGACTGAATAGCTGGTCACAGTTTTCATTAAGACAAGTATTTTATTTCTTTCACTGACTGGGATTTAAATCTGACTGATGATGCATTTTAATTTGTTTTTATGATGTCCTGACAGAGTTCAAACAGAAGCGCCAAGTTCACCATGTTATAACTGACATCTTAATGGCAGTGTTTACATAAAACATTCCTCACGATCTGCCACAGACAAGCTCAGGCAGGCGCCGCTGGCGGTGAGATCATGCTAAGGCTGTGACAGTTAGTACAACCAGCTCCTGTTTGTGGTTCTGCTGCAGGATCAAACATGAACGGCTCTTGGCAATGCAATGACTCCACATGTTAAATGAGTTTTTAAAGAAATGGTTATTCTGTTTTGTTGCAGAATAACATCACACTGAATAGCCTAGAAGGATTTTAGATAAAAAAAAAGAGTATACATTATGGCAAACTTGATCACTGGGTACATCCCAAGTCTCTTACATGTGTCTACGTTTCCCACACTTGTGTTGTTTCCTTGCAGCAGTGGTTCACACACAGTAGATGTCAAGTCAGTTTCATTTATATAACTTGGTGTCACATCACCAGTTTGCCTCAAGTCCTATCTGGTTTACCTGAAGAAGCAACTGCAGACTCATTTCACGGTGACCAGTACCATTGTGCTGTGGTCGTATAGCCAAGTCATCTGAGTGCTGCACAAACAGGAATCAGTGTTTTAGTCCAAAGGTCTGCTTCCTCATGAAGACATGGGACAGTCTGCTGTAGAAATAAGAGGAAGTGAGTGTTGTTCCTCCTTTTGAAGTAAACGCTAATCATGGAGCAAGCCCTGCTCTCTGGAGTTCAGTGGTGCAGTACTAGATTTTCTGAAGCGCCACCTTTGTGTGGACATTATGTGAAAAAAAACGTTTTTTGTGCTTTGGATTTTGAATTTGGTTATACGTCCCCCAAGTGTGGACCCAGCCAGACTGTCTCCCCCAGTTTCCAGTCTTTATACTACACTAAGCTAACCATATCCGGACTCCCCACACAGATGGTGATTTTCAGCTCACTCTCAAAACAAAAAGCTAAATAAAGATTTTGCAAAATGTGATGCTTCCCCTTTATGGTCAGGCTCTGGAAGATGCACCGAAATATAAAGGTATGTTTTCTGCTCATTCTTCAAAGGCTAATAGCCTTCCTCCTGCAGACCTTTGACCCTCAGACCTCATTGGTTTCCTGTTGGCTGGTTTTTGTCTGAACTGAACAAGGCTGATTTTTTTTTTTTTTCAAATTCAGCCATTCTGTCAAAGATGCTTCTTCTTAAGCCTCTGCAGGAACATCTTGAAGAACACTGGTCACAGGTTCAATTCTCTAAACTCACCAGGAAAGAGAGAGATGCAAATATTTCTGAAGGCAGAAACAATTTTACTAGTCCAGTGTGAAAAATAATTCTCTAGTCTAAATACAACAAGACACATGGTTACAATCTGTTTTAATAGTAACTGAAGCTGCAGCTCAGTTCGCTCTGGTGACACTCAAGTCTGTTTTTAACAAACTCAGAATGAAACTCATAAATGTTCTTCAGACCCAAATTACATCTAAAAAAAAGTTTTAAAAGTTGTTGGAAGTTGCCTGAGAAATGAGACATCACAAATGTTATGCAATCTTTTATGCTATACTCCATCAGCGAGCTGATTTTACTTTTATTTAAGTTCATTTTATTTATGTGAGGTCTTCTCCACCACTCAGGTTAGCATATGTTCAGATCAGTGATGTTTTCCTGATGTGGCTAAAGAATCTCGCTTGTGTCCTGGCAGTTGAACAGGTTTTACTGTGTGGTTGCCTGAGCCATGGTTTAGGAAGTCAGAAGGTCTTGTTGAATAAAACAGTCCTGTGTACCACCAGTTTTGTACTAATGTGATAAACTGGTGCATTTCTGTGTGTTCCCTCTGTAATGTTCTGTGGCTTTACTGCATGTCCACCACCTTTGTCTTTAAATGAAGAAGCTGCTTCTTTAATCCAGCTGGTCAGAACAATAGTTGGAATGCTTAGAGAGGATTTATATTTCCTGCAGATGGTCAAGTCCTCTCGGGAATTCTGGCAGCTCACTTTCTTCTGGGAAGTGTTTCAGAAACCTCAGGAATTCGGTCTATTTGGGAAATCAAGGCCGTGTGTGTGTGTGTGTGTGTATGTGTGTGTGCACGTGAGCGCATGCCACACACGAACACACGCTCAGGTACTGTAATGTCCCACCTTACCAGGGCTGTTGAATGACTCCAACATAGTCATTCTGAAAAAGCAAAGATGAAAGTTTGTGTGTTACCACTGAATTTCACTCAAATGCTGGAAATTTTTGTGAGCCTGGGATAAGCACTGTTATCAGCCTCCATATGTGTTTGCACATATTAATCCAAAGCACAAATATCTGGTGAGATTCCTGTTCCATAGTTCCTGATTAAAATGTGTAAAATTCTCCTGATTTTATTTTGACATAATTTATATTTTCAAAGTAATATGAATGATTATTCTTATTTAAGGGCTCAGTTTGGTGTTTGGCATTACATCATCTCTGCTCAAAAAAAAAACCTATTCAGGGGTTCAGTATCATTAGGGTGGACAGTGTGCGAGCTCCCTCTGCTGGCTGCAAATGTCATTACATGAACAAAGGCTCCTGTCATCTGCTTAAACAGAAGACTAGTAGTGATATAGACTCAGCTTAAGTCTGCAAAACCTATTATTAAAATTATTTCCACTGAACTTATGCATAGTCTGCATTTAAAAATCTGATGTTTATTATTATCATACAATCTTAAATGAGAAGATTCCCCATCATCCATGTAAATGTGGCCAAAATTTGACATTTGCACAATATTGTTTGAAGCCCTGTCCCACATAATCACCCAATATGAAGGTTCCTCCAAGGATGACTAATTTATAATGAAATGAAATAAGTAAAATCAAAACAAAACAAGTTCATCCTCTGTGAGACAGAATATCTGACATAACGGCCCTCCAGACCGGTATCTGCTGGTACGTCACTGGACCGCTTTATATCTCCGTCTTTATGCACAACATCCAGCAGGCAAACAACATACTGAATATGAGACACGTTTGGTTTCATTGTCGTGTTTATTTCTTGTAACACAAATGACAATATTTGATTTCTTTAAAAATGCTGAGCTCCAAGTACTGTCAGTGAGTATTCTGTCAGGTTAACATGAGCACACCGACGTGTTTCAACATGAAAAGTAAGATTAAACCCAATGTCCTTGCAAACATTCGCTACTACAAACGCGAACACCTGACATCCCTCCTAGGACCTGCTAAGAGTCAGTGTGTGGAGGGGCTTATTTTTCTATACTTGTGCATCCCAAAGTACATGACTTACTATTTTCATACACAGTTTGTTGAATTATACAAAAACAATGGGTTGTAACATTAGGGCACGTGTCGGCTTTTGTTAAGGCTAGGTGAAGTCTCCTGGAAGCAAATGTAAGTATTTTAATGGACCCGGTAAGTGATGAAAAAAGGAGTGTGTGTGTGTGTGTGTGTGTGTGTGTGTGTGTGTGTGTTATATTGTCAGGTCCTTGGGGTTGACCACTCTGCCAATGAATAGCAGTGCCCCCGATGCTTCATCCCGGATCAGGTAGAGGAATGGGTGGTCCACTCGGTATGACAGGTGGCTGGGAGTCGCAGCAACGCTGGGGTACTGATTCCCCTCAGGTGCCGTCTCCATGACAACCTTGTGATTGACACTGCTGAGCTTGGTGGGCTGAGCTGAGATCTTCTCCAGGTCCTGGTCCTCTAGCCATTCAGCGAGACCTGCAGGGACAGAGGCCAGGATCCAGGTAAGGAGGAACAATCACTGTCTGTATTTAAACAAGCAGCCAGCATTCACTCATTGCCAGATTGTTCTGAAGAAATGTCTCTCATGATTCTGTTTAGTATTCATTCTCTCTGTGTATGTCCAGTTTCTGACCCATTTCTCCTCTGGACTCTAACCCTGCCTGCCCCCTATATGTAAACTGTTGGATTTGTTTGTTCCCTCCTGGTTTTTGGTCCATTATTTGTCCCAGGCTTTCTGCTTGCCTTTCTTGTGTATGGACTCCTGTTTCTCCCTGGATCTGATTATTTGTCCTGCCTGTTTGGAGACAAGCTGCTTTTGACCCTGTGACCAAAACTAAGTAACCTGTCAGTACACCTACCTGTGTCAGCCACTATACCTGAATATTCCTGTTTACCTGCCCTGTTACCCCTTACCACTACCTCCGTGTCTCTGGTCTGCATCTCAGCAGTCAATTGGCAAATAGAAACAGAAACCAACAACACTGCATGAATGAACTTCAGATATGGATGAATGGAGAAACCTGATCATCTTCATCAGTAGATTCCTAGTTCTCTACAATAATCCTAGACTTGAATAAGAAAAACAAGCTACTTTGTTGTGTGTGAATGTAGTACAAACGTGAGGTAAATATTTCCAATCAGAGCTAAGCAGGCATCATATTGGTTCTTATTTTTGCATTCTTATCTATTTAAATGCAAATCTTTGTCAGACGTGGTTGGTTTTTGGACCTACCCAGGTCACCAAGCAGCGGCAACAGGTCTGTGGAGTAGCTGAGCCTCAGGGCGGGCAGACTGAGGAACACCTGGGCAGGAAGGAGCGTCAAAGAAAGGTCCTGAACAAACTCGGCGGTCAGACTCTCCTCCAGCAGGGTCATGTTTGAGGTCACTTCATCAGGCAGGAAGATGAACATGCTGACATCGTCCTGCATTGCGATCTGAGCGATCTGAAAAAGATCGTTCCACAGATGCATCAAAAAATGGACTGAAGAACTGTCACATCACCGCACAGAGCGCTGGTTGATGAGGTTTAAAACAATTTGAGAACATTCAGTTATTGTTTACGTGTCCAGGGGGTCTGCTGTGTTCACCAAATTAAATGTGAGGAACGTACATGCAGCACCTTGATCACGGTCAGATTAGATCAGCCTACAGTCGTTTATTAAACATAAATTTGTTAGTATTTTCTGTTTGAAAGTCACAGAGTGGAGCTCTGAAGATGACAGACAAAACTGTCCCAGAGTTTCTAAACAATGACAGAAACACAGTTGTCAAAAATTAGTAAATGGATATTTTAGTTAAATTAACTCTATCATCCATTTTGAGCCAATGAGCTTCCTAACAACTGCCAGGCAAGACTTATAACTAATGTTACTAATTATAAGCAAAAATATTCACGACCCTTGTGAATAAAATGTCAGATTTGAGCCATATTCACTGCTTTCTAAGGGTTTTAAAGACCTGTTGTCTCACGTTGCTTCAAACAGTGCCTTCCAGAGTTCAAACACTAACCGTGCAGCTCAGGTCTGAGTCCGCTCCCATCTTTACAGGGTAGCTGTCCTGTTGCATCATGGGAATTCTAATTGAGGCCCCGCCATCCACCTGAAAGTTCTGCAGCACCCTGCTCTCACCGAACCGAGTCACCCATTTCCCTGTACACAGACAGAAGACTCAGCAGTTGTTGCCACCCATGCACCCTCAGCAGTCCAGTGTTATTCCAATGTCAGAGCTACTGTGTTTAACAAAACCTAAAAAAGACTGAGAGACTTTAAACCCTCCTCGACGAACCTTTAAAGTAGGCGGCGCTCACAGCATTCACTCCTGGGTTCCGGGGAAGAGGCTTGGTCAGGAAGCGCTGCACCTTCCCACCTGTCTCCTGCGTCACCCAGTCATTGATGTCCTTCATGTCTCGGGCTCCTCCCAGCAGCGCCTTAGGACGAACTCCATACTGCCCCTCCACCAGCGTGAAGAAGTCTTGCGTCACACGAAGCCCTGAGAAAAATGACGTTAGATGCTTTAACCTCATCAACGCTGCTATTGGCTGAGTGATTCAAATGGTTTCCTGTGATATTTACACTCTATTTTATTTTATGAGCTTTTCATTCTTCCACCAAAACTCTTCTCAGCAATAAGCAGTGTTCGGTGTTTGTGTCACTGCAGTTCAAAAAAGAGAAGAGTCAGTGGTGCTGATGGACTCACGTCGAGCCAGGTAGATGCGTGCAGCCATGCTCAGGCCTTTTCCAGGGGTCTTGACTGAGAGCAGCAGGTCCTTCAGGGTGTTGTGCAGCTGAGGGTCCTGCAGGGTGTGGTACCTCAGGGCCCTGAACAGCTGCCTCTCAGCACGCTCAGATCCTCCTGGGGAGCAGGAGAGATGGTGTTATTAGAGACCCAGCAGGCTGAAAATTATGCCCAAGTTCAGACGTGTATTCATCTGCATCAAGACAGTAATCAGCAGATTAATCCGTGAACCCTGCTGTTTTTATTTCCACTAGTTTATTCTGGAGTTTCAAGTGTTATATAACTACATAAATATTGCTATTAAATGTGTTTCAGCTGTGAAATATTACTCATATGGATGACTTTGTCTTTGCGTCATTGAGTGGAGGAGAAATGCCAAGAGGCCGGGACTCACCACGTAGCGTTAGGTAATGGTTTACTGCCGCTTCAGTTCCTTCCCCCAGAACAATACAAACAGTAATTGGTGTGAGGAGGATGTGTTCTCTGGTTTTTGGTGTTTGCTGATTTATTGTAATGAATGATCCAGGGAGTGTAATATTAAATGGTATTTTTTCTTCATCCCGATCAACAGATTGATAATAAAGCAGTAGAAGGAGAAGTTTACAGTTACGGCTGCAGCATGTGTTTGAGTTCTATGCACTACAAAGACTCACTTTAGAATTTTGGGTTCACCTTGAAACATCTTGCTAACTATCAGGCTGAGACCAGCATGAAGCTTTGGACCTGTGCAGTAATAGAGCTGAATTATGAAGGATATCCTCTGTCTGCGCAGTCTCAGCTCAGACCAACTCATGGTAAGTGGACTGTACTTATACAGAGCTTTTCTACCTTAGCTGGACAAACGCTTTACAGATTCACCCACATGGCAGAGCTGCCATGCAAGGCGCTGGGGTTCAGTGTTGTGGCCGAGGACATTTTGACATGTGGACTGGGGAGAACAGGAATCGAACCGCCAACCCTGCGATCAGAGGTCGACCCGCTCGTCCCCTGTGCCCCATGTTGGGGCTGCAGAGGAAAGATGAGTCGGACAAAGCAAAGGCCAAAGATGGAACCACCACAGTCATCGTGCCAGTGCTAGACAACAATGAGCTGTGGTGTTTCTGGAGAACAGCAAACACAAGGGAGATGCAGTTCTTCACCCATGGACAGCTGCGTCAGCACCGCAGACGCGCTGATGGGGGCCAGGAAGATGTTGGTCGCAGCTTCACGGCTCGCTAGGACACGGAACAGGTTGTAGCCAAAGTCTGAGGTTGCAGCACCCATCTTTGTCACCGGTGTGGTGAAGAGCTCCACATGCTGCTCCTCCTCCCCCGCTGCCTCCTCAGCTCCTGTCTCCGACTGCAGCAGGTCAGTAAACAAGTCAGTGTTTTAACAAACCTCATTACTATGTTTGGTGATTTTCAAAATTTTTCTTATCAACAAATCCCATGTTCAGACTCACTGAATGTGTCCTACTGTACTAACAGCTACTCTGTGCCATCGAGCGCCGCTGTGTCCCAAAACTACTGAAACCAAATCAGACATGGTAGTTTATTTGACTCAGCCCTAGAGATGCCATCCAGCTACCACAGATACTCAGCGGTGGAACGAAACTACAGTAAGGACATTTATTTAAGCACAGCTTTGAGGTATTTGTACCTGAGTATTTCCATGTCCTGGTATTTCGTACTGAGACTTCACTCCATGTCATAGACAAACCATGTACTTTTTACTGCCCTACATGTATCTGATAACTTCAGTTCCTTTCCAGAATCAGATGAATCAAACCAAACCCAGTAGAACCATCAGACTCTGTTGATCCCGGTGGGAAATCCACCAGCTACCCAGCAGGATGGAAAGTACTTGACAGTATAAATATATAAGGTAGTTAACATCAGCTCCACCTTTACCAGCTGCAGCATTAAAGTGATGAACACAGTAACACATCAGTCACTATGATCCAGTGGTATCAGAGACATTACTGGGACATGGGCCGCTCTCCAGGACGAGTAGTGGTACTGATGGTACTTCGGGTAAATTTGGATGCTGATACCTTTGTGCTCTTACTTAAGTAAAGGATTTGAGTACAAATACTCACTAGAGATTAAATGTGGATTAATTCTGAAAGTAGTGTCAACAAATGCACCGTCATATGTAGGAAGTTATAGAGCCTTTTTAGAAATAAAAATGTGTATTTGTCTGCATGTGGGACTAGTTGAATAACAACAAAATAAAGCCAGACTTATTTAGAGTTAAAACAAAATAAAAATGTGCAGGCAGGTGATATGGGTACCTGAGCCTGACAGAAGCTCAGTATGAGTCCAAACACCAGCAGGAAAGTTGTTCGCTTCATCCTGAAAGACAAACAGAAGGACGTGTTAGGCTAATGGTGCTGGGAACAGAGCAGACCCAGATGTGGGATTGTACAGAAGAGCACATGATAATTCTGATGTTTAGTGTGTTGATGTGCTCTGGGTGTCACCTGAAAATGATGAGTGTCAGTGACACCTGGGTTTCTGTACAGATGCCAGATATGTGTAAATGTCTTTGTTTAGGGATTATAAACATGTTTTACTCTGTTCATCTCATACAGTAAAACACCAGCTCTGCTGCCTTTACTTTAGCAGGGGGATCTTCTACATCAAACATGACAGAGACACTGGTAACTGTGCAAAAACTATTTGGAAGAAAAAGTATCAAAAGAGAAAATGAGAGAAGAGTCTCTGAGTCCTTCAAAGTCGTCTTTCTTTGTAAAACGTTTTTGGACTTACAGGCAGTAACAATGTCTTGTATAATTGTAGTGTTAATGCCACAAAATGATATGACCTGCTGAAACTTCACCACAATACGGTACAAACTGAAGATGCTGTCAGGGCCACAAAAACATATCAGATCATCTCTGCAGCCTCTAAAAGTTCATATGCTGCATCGCCAGTCTCCTCCAGAGTGAGGACAAAAACTCAAACACAGTCTCCTTTGTTCTTCTACACACATCTGGATCTGGTTCTTGTGGTTTCACAACAACAAAAGTCTGTCATTTGAACCCCGGACCACACCCAAACACACACACACACACACACACACACCACAGGCCTGATGGGAAAACCAGATGATGTCGTCCAAAATCCTCCTTGCCTGCCCAGAGCTCAGCGTCCCAACTTCACTGAGCTTCTGATCGTTTTCCCATCAAACTGTCTCAAGTCAGTTAAAAGAGAAGTTCAAAAACATGTTTTATGAAAACAGGGTGCTGCTCAGTAGACATAAAGATGAGACAAGCAGACAGTGCTTGACAAATCAAGGTACTTCACACTAATGTAATAAAAATTACCTAAATCTGCAGTGATGCAGCAGCCCCGCTGGCAGAGAAGCAAAAGCTTCAAAGAAAAACAGATTAGAGACAAAAGCAACAACAAAATAAAGTGGTAGTCATCATGTCTGACATGTTCACCACAGCATGAAGGCAACAAAGGCAAGTCTTTCAAGTTTTATGTGGAGAGTTGGTGTGTTTCAACTGGAGCTGTGAAAGCAACAGTCGCTGATTTATTTGGCATGCACCCTGTCAAAGAGAGTTGTTGACCGTGACCAAGCCTGATAGAGTCCTGAACAGCTGACACACGTTTCCTGCAGGAATTTGTCTCTGATCTACTCACAGGAACCTTTTCTCTTGGATGCTCCTCAACTCTCTGATATCACATCAGGGACATTTAAAAAGTCGAGCTCACGACCCCAAAATGATTCCACGGAAGTGGAGACATGTTGTTCTTGGCACCAAAGTCTACAAACCCCAGTAACCTCAGTAAAAATGGTTCTGAAGATCAAATGGCAAACATCTCCAAGAATTAAACCGCTTCACCAACTACAGTTAAAAGACGATGTGTTTGCAAGTATTTCACACTATAGAATCGAACTGTTAAAGTTTAACTTGAGTCGATCCGTGCCGAGACAGAGCTCTGACCCGCTGTGGAATCAGAGCTATTATATAAAGGGTTCAGTGGAAAACGTCCAATTGTGGTTGTGTTTCTTGGCGCTCAGACACTGGCTGAGATGGAAAATTTGAATTGAACTGGAGAAAGTTCGTTGTTTTAGAAAAAAAAATTTACTGACTGGAAACACGACTGCTTGTTCATTAAAGACAAACACACAACGCAGACGCTGTGAGGGGTTTCTCTTAAAGCCCAAAGATGAAACCAATGAAACGAAGGGCCCTGCGCTCTCTGCAGGATCAGCAGACAGCTCAGCCGGGCTGCTCCGTTCAGTTTCAGACTGAAGCAGCACCGCTCTCGCATCATGCACCACTGAAGCAACAACTCGATCGCAGTTATGGTCTGGTCAAGCTAAACTTCTGCGACTTTAAAAAGCAAAATCTAAATCTTGTGCGTAAAAGCGCAAAAGTAACCAACAGAGCGCATACAGACGCACTCACCTCCGTTCTGCTCCGCACGGTCCACGTCGTTCACTCTCTCTCTAGTTGCACTAGACGAGTCCTCCGATGACGCCCACAGCGGCGCGCGTCCAGCTGCCACCAGCAGAGCGCCGGGGACGCGCACGAAGGACAGAAGCTGCTAAATCAAGATGAATGAAACTTTACAGCAAAAGACAGAAAGCAAGAAATCAAGAGGGCAGAACGGTTTAATGTACAGACTAAAGTAAACATGTTGTAGGTGTAGCTAACTGCACCAGAACAAAACCTGCTCATAATGTCAACGCTCATCACAGAAGTCCTGGTCTGGTAATTTTTAATCCCATGTGTCAATATTTAGGCAGATGTTATTTGATCAAATGTGAAGCTTATGACCCAGATCGGGGAGGGATTTATTTGTCCTCTGTGGAAGTTTTATACATTACAAACTGTTAACCCCCACAGATGTGACCAGTCAGTAGCTATTCTGCAACCATGTGTAGGCTCCTGTCACAAACTGCACTCCTGCTTGTGTGGGAGTTGTCATCGTTGTCAGATGTTGCGGGCAGTAGCACATAGGAAGAGTGCTGCAGAAGAAGAAAGCAGGAAAAATCACATGTGACTGTTCTTAAACTTTTATAACCTACTGGTGGCTTTATGTCACCATTGCACAGCATATGTATTGTTTCCCCCCACCTTTTTATTCTCAGTTTTAAAAATACGTTAGTTGTCTGATAGTATGTTTTAGAGGGAAACAGAAAAGGGAGACTGGGTTGGAGCTGCCTCAAGCTAAAAACTTAAATGAGCCAGTCATCACAGAGCAGCACTGTTGAAGTTCAACACTGGCCTCGAAGGGTGAGCTCATCAGAGAAAAATCTTGTTTTATAACATAATAATGCACAATTGTTGGAAAGATTTTGTTCCTGGAAACTTGTGTTTCATCTCAGGGAATTTTCTGTAGCCTACAGTACAGTGCTTGTTTTCATCAGCAGTAAACCCTGTCTTGTAATGCACTGAGGCCACGTGAGCAGCCACTGAACACTGTTTCATCATTATGATCAGGAACCTGAACCAGTGTAGTAAACCTGAAAGTTGAGAATGTTGCAATTCTGTGCTTGTTTAAATCTAAATGTTTGACGGTTTGAAACACATGTTTATTGGCCTTCATGCAGAGTTTGATAGGAGTAAACAAACAAAGGAGTTACAGTGTGATGTGCTAATCTGTGAGCTGTACAGGGGCTTGTAGGTGGATTGTGCTACCTCTGGACAATCAGGCTAGCTGATCCCAGTCTTTATGCTAAGCTAGGCGAACTGGTTGCTGTTTGCAGCTTCATATTATCATTCAGACACGAGAGTGGAATCAATTGTTTAATTCTTAGTAAGAAAGCAAACAAACATAATTTTGCAAAATATCAAACCGTTTCTTTAACTAGTGAAATCTTGAATTTCAAGCAGAAACAGAGTCATCTGGTTTGGAGCAGCTTTCATCCTCCTGTGTCGATTTTGGCCTGTTACCAGTGTCCAGTCCATTTACATGCTGTGGCTGTTCCTCCTCATCAGCAGGGGCGCTGCATGACTGTATGCTGCTGCCTGCTGCTGTCTCACTGCACAGTCTGTTGCTGTGTTCACTATTTCTGCCTCTTACCCTGACATCGCCTGGCACAGGTTGGTCACTCATGGTGTTGTTGTCATGGGGATCATCATTGAGCATGGGATTATTGTCAGGGGCAGGGTTTGTGACGATGCCCATAAAGAGGGGGGCCAGGGAGGCATCATCCACAAGGGCAAAGAGGAATGGGGAATTAACAGAGAAAAGGGAGACAGAGCGCATCGAGGTTACAGCAGTGGTGGCAGATGCCTCCACACCTTCCTCGCTGAGTTCTACTGTGCTGGCATGACGAACACCCGTCACCCTCAGGGAGTGGTCTGAAATCCCAGAGAGGTCAGGATCCAAAAAGAGAGAGCCAAGGCCTGATGGGGATAAAGAGGTGAGACTTTTATACTGAATGGCCATTCATACTCTGAATAGACATTCAGTGTAAAGCAAGAAGTTACAGCTCTGCAGGTGAGGAAAATACTGTATATTTTACACTTATGGATGAATGGAGAAAGAACAGGGTTGGTGGAAGTACGAGTAATTTATTTAATTAATGGGCTGTGGTCAAAATTAATTATATACATTTAAATTTTTGCCTAAAGGGCAATAGGCACCAGGAGCATACTGTAGATGTTCATTAAAGCACATATATCCAGACACCAGAGATGTCAACACATGTAATCCTTGGGTGGTGTTTCAACTCAACAGGACCCAAAATTGTCCTAGATAGGCTCTAGAAAAGCATCACTTAATATTCTCACCCATGCTTGTCAGCGCTTCCTGGAGTTCGTGGCGATACTGCAGCTTCACCTTCGGTAAGTTGACCTGCATTGTTTTCTCATGAGGTAGACGTCTATAAAGGTCGGAGATGTTCAGTTTTGGAAGCAAAGATGACACATTTTTTCTTCCTGGCAAGGGCAGGACGATCAAGAAGCTGGTGTTTCCCTTAAAGGGAAAACTGGCAACCTGGGCGAGAGAAAAGGAATTTCTTCTTATGTCGTCAGACAAGCTTAAGATACAAACATCCTTCTCCTCAGACACAGCATCACAAGACTGAAGTCAGACATGACCAGAAAACCTCCGGAGAGGTATCTTGTAAGAAGCTTTTTCTGGCTGTTCTTTTTAGTTGCTCATGCAAAGCACTAGTGCTGCTGTACTCCCGTCTTTCAAAGCCTTGGGTTTTTGGAAGCTTTTATCCTGAACCTCTTTTGTAAACAAGTCATACTCTGTTGACTCTGCTGCAGCCGCCATGACTTTCTAAAACGGTAGCATGTTCTGGAGGCACCAATGACTGGAACCAAAAATGACCGATGTAAGCACACAGTGATAACATTGTAATATTCTTCTTCTTCTATGGATTTTACTGGTGCTTGGCACCTGGCTGTGTAGTGATGCTGAAGAAAAACATTTGTTTAATAGGTGACTGAAGTGTTTTATAAGTCAAACGGGTCATCAAAATAAAAACAAGATATCTGTTAAAAATATTGATATTGACACATTTTCAAAGTCAGCTTAATTGATTGTCATGTGCATGGTTTTAAATATGTAATTGCTATGTTTATTTATTTATTCAAAAATCCACCTTTTCTGTCAAATTACTTCTGTACGACCATTCCTGCCAGGACATCAGGGCAAATTGTTGAAAATCCAGAGTGTCTTGAATTAACTAGGTCAGTTATTTGTCTAAGTGTTTATGTAGTCACCCTACAGGAGAGAGAAGAAGAAGAAATCTAGAAACCCACATTGTTTCTAATCCCTGTTAAACAGCAACAAATATCATGCAGCGGTGGATGAAGGCCATGTGGTAATGTACAGTATTACTGATGTGTTCATCAGTGACGCTGGTACCTGTGCTTCGAGCTCTGGGTCGTCCAACAGGCGGAGTGGGTAATGTGCAGACCTCATCATGTCCACTGACACCAGGTTCTGTCTGTCCAGGTAGAACACACCTTTAGAAGTTTTTAGAGGGTCAAATTGTGTCTGCCATTCACCTGAAAAGAGGAGGAGGGATGAGCAAGAGGGAATCATTTGTTAGTTAAAAAAAAATCTGTTTTTTGAATCTGATCATTATGCATTTTTAGAAAGTTGGATGAGCACTGGACTTTGCTATAGCTGCTTCTGTTTACCCATATACGCCAGTATGTAAAGGCATGTTTACTGTTTACTGATGTTGATGTTTTTCTGCCTTGGGACCATGATCTCCATCATACAGTGAAGCAATTTGCAGCCACTATAATGGTTAGTTTTCACAAGTCTAAGACCTGTGTTGACGGACAGACACTCCCTCTGATGGAGGATTTTAGCAGTCTAAGGGTCCTGTTTGTGAGTGATTTTAAATGGACTATGAGACTTAGCACTTGTTAGGGCTAGTAGTTATAATATCAGTAGCTTTGATTGGGGCTTTGGAGGAGGTCAGTGGTTCCAGAACACCTTGGTTTTATGAGGCTGCTTTGAAAAGGGAGTGTTGTTTCTGGGATATGCTTTGTTGGATACCCTGAATCCATCTCATATCCCAGCTGGCCAGGTAACACTTGGCGATGCTCTAAAAAGAGTTGTTTTTGTGAGGAGTGAAACACTTAGACTACTCTGATCTGCTCAGTTACTGGCACTGATATCAGCTAGCAAATCCAGCCAGTTATTGTCTTCTTCACTGTAGAAGAAAATCCACCAAATCAGCTAAACCTCAGGACGAACCTCAAGACTAGCTGTAGCCTATAAAGTCTTTGACAGTCATGAGCATATACCGGAAAACTCAGTGAACCACTCAGTGGAGTTCTGGAAGTAGACGACCCCACAAATCCCATGAGAACCCCAACAGTTGTGTGTTCTTGTACAAAACAAATATGGGCAGCAACTAGGAGCTTGCACCTTTTATATGCAGTGACATGAAAATCCCCAAAAAAGAGGATAAAAGCTCAAGGGCTAGTTGAGAACCTTGACAGAGAGGCAACGCCAGTGCAGACTATAAAGCCTACACAGGGAGGTTAGGAACAGCTGTTGACTGCAATGAGAATAGTCTATGTGGTTTCATTATGTAAAATGCCATACTCGGTGGTGTTTGGTGGAATGAGTCACCTTTGAAGTATACAGCGTTCATGAGGATTAGCACCACATTATGTGGAATACTTTCCATGAAGTTGGGGATGTGGCCATTGGTGACATTCTCCACCCATTGGTTAACCTCCTCCACAGACACTAGAGGGACAGGCTGTGATTGGTACCTGGAAAGAAATCAAAGATTTTTATTTCAGAAAATGTTGTCAATGTAAGAAAAAACAGCATTGTTACTGTTTTTACGTCCTGCAACTGTAAACTCCCATGATCCTTCAATGTGTTCTCGGGTATCTTACTCTGTGATAAGCTGTCTTTCTACCAGTTTGTGTATATGTCTCAGATGTACCTGGCCAGAGAGTCTTCAACAAAAGACAGCTTCACCTCAAATCCTGAGGAATATGAGATGGGAGAGAGAATACAAAAACTGGTTAAGATAACTTTTACACCAAACGTCTTAGAAACATCACCAGTTCAACTCTCCTCACTACACACCTGGTCTCAGGTACATGCGTGTTGCCACATCCAGTGATGTCCAGATGAAATGAGGTGCAAGGCTTCCCAGTATATGATGGTAACACGGCAGATGGTGGGCATGAAGGCTCCTCAGCAGCAGTTTCTCCGTCTCATTGCGAGCGCCTGAGAGAAAATTTCAGCCAAAACTGTACAGGAACATATGGAGCAACCACCATACAATCTGAACATGTGACTTTCTATGTGCAAATGCTTCTCGGGGCAGAGCTGCTCTGAAATGTTTCTGCTCACCTAACATGGCATGAGACTAAAAATGTGTAGCCTGTGAAGATGTATATGTCAGACATTTGCTCAGCTGTGAGCAGGTTCATGGTCTGAAATTAGTTGAGTGTTAACTTTTGAAAAATCTCTCTGGGGTACAGTGACATAAGATGTATAGACTTTATTTCACACAGTGTGCATCCTGACTTGGTCCTGCCTAGTTAGGACTCAGAAATGACAGCAGTTGGCCCTTCTAACCACACTCCACACCGGCAACTTAATAGTGAAGTCTTGAGCTGTAAAACAAAATGACAGTAACTTCTAACTGACCTAAGGTGAGCTGAGCGAGGGCAAAGGCCAGGCTGAGAGGTGACAGGATGACATTCGGCTGATGTGGACCAACAGGAAGATTTTCAAGGAGCTGTAAACCCAGTCTCTCTATGGTGCCCGCTACTGCACGGTGTTCCTCAAGGCTGAATACCCGCCGTCCTTCACAGCTGTGAACTGTCTCATCTTCATCTGGAGCACTGGGAACTCCTGGGGTGGGCTCGTCCTACAGACATAACAGGCAGGATCCACTTCCTCATAAGATACCATCACATAATAAAGGACAAAACAAATAGTTTCACTCTAGTGCTTAAAAAGGTAGTTTACTAGACTCCGGTTGTTCTTACAGTCAGTCCCAGGTGACAGAGACAGAGCAAGAGAAGAAGAAGACACAGCTTCATTTTCAAACAACCAACCTGAAAAACAGAAAGACATCATCACCCACGAAGAAGGCAATGTTATAGCATCTATGGTCGTTTTCCTCTTTAGGGTGAAACATGGAAGATGGTTGACATTGACACATTGCATGTTTTTCTCTAGAGATAAGTTTGAAAAGATCAAGCTGTTTTGCCCACTATATGGCTGGTGATGGATATTTGTTTTCAAAGTGCATATCTTACAAGACGGCACATCTCAGAGGGCTCTATCCTGCATTTAAAACATTTTAAAACTGGTTCTTTTCAATGACCACCTGAACATAAATACTCCACAGTGACAACCATGATGTAGCCACAAGGCCCTGTAGTTCCCCACTGGAGAGTTTTGGGGAAACAACAATGAAGTCCCCCAAATTCAGTCCATCAAAGGCCACATTTCATCTCTGAAGTTATCCTATTAAGTAACATGTAACAATGCTATACATTCACATGAAAACATCCTAGCTTTCTAGCAGGCTAGCATATTAATATTAGCATGTTAGGATTACTCTCAACTGAAATGGACAAACTTATGTTCCGACATAACCTGTCATGAGCTTAAGTGCAAATTGTCCTGTTGATGTTGGTTAGTGAAAAGTAAGGGGATCCACACCAGTAATTAATACGCATCCTCTAGACAACAAGTGTCTCTGTACCAAATTTCAGGACAATCGATCTAATATTTTAGTCTGGACCCAGTTGTTTAAATGACGGACCAACATCTGTATAGCCACTGTGCTTTGGGTAAAAGCTGTAAGGGCTGTATCATTTTTCATTCAGATAGTCTCTGCTGCCAGTTTCTGTCCATCTAGTAGGGTTAGAGTTGCTTGAGCTTTCAGACATGGCTGCTGTATTTACCAACAGACTAAAGGTTACTGTTTCAGAAGCTAGTTTTGGCTGGGCTGCAATACACTGAATACACAGAGCACAGAATATCTGAACTACATGAACTTCATGAATCTGCCTCCGCTGTTTACGTGAGAAGGCTTAGCTTCACACTAATATATATGAACTGCACCCGTCCATCTATGGAGCTGCATCTTGGCTGTCTGACTGCAATTCAAAACATTCTTTGAATCAATGCATTTTTGTTAATTATAGATTATTTTAGCAGTGCTGCAAATTTCTCCCCTGAGACCAAGTCAGTTGACGAAGGTTTTGGTGAAGTCAAAGATGGTCCAAACTCACCTGGACTGTGACTAATGTGGAGGCAGACGAGGAGGAACACAAGGGATTAAAAGATGAGATGAATAAAATAAGTGTAAGGCAGATATGGTCAACCTTCTCTCGGCAGGACAACATTGTACCTGGACTCAACAACTGCTGCCCCCCTGTTGGCTGGTTAATAATCAATCTGGGATGATCATGGCTGTGTCTGTGGTCACTGCTCAGTATAAAAATAATGGGAATACTGCTGTAAAACCATAGAGGCTTTTGGCTTCACCGGTATTCATAGAAATTCATCATGGACTAGAAATGACCAAAGACATTCATTAGAGTTGTCGAAGTGAACCGATTTACCTCCAGCAGTAACCACCATGACACAGTAAAATGTCTTTAGCCCAGATGTTTGAACGCTCTATCAGTTACCCAACAGCCCAGAGGCCCACTCCTGTCAGGAGAAAGCAAACTGATGTCGAGTTAATCACAATGCCTCTGTCATGACTTAGACATGAAAAAGTCAAAAATATAACTTAATACTTCGTCATTATGACAGTAATCCTTTGTGCAGTCATTAACTATAAAATAAGAATTGTTCATTTAAAAGAAAGAAGAAGAAGAAGAATTTCTAAGATCATAATTACTGTTGAATCTAGATTATATTTATAATTATGATTTAGTAAAAAAAGTTCAAGTCCTTCATAATCATGAGTTAGGAAGTCCAAGGTCATAATAATGATTTATTTAAATATTGGTGCTCATTCCTAATTTTGCAGCAGTTCTTTGTTATAAGACACGGGCCATGTACACGTTTTATTACATGTAAAGCTCAATAAAAGAATCAAAGCTAAACTAGACAAAAGCCAAATTCACTGACAAAAGTAAGCTATTGAAAACAAAGCTAAAGTAAAAACGTAAATAAGCATAGTTCAACTAAACCTTATGCTAAAGCTAAACTAAACTAAACAAAACAAAGCCCAGCTAAAGTCAACTAAACAAGCAAACATTAAATCAACAAACAACCAAGATGAACTAAATAACAAAGCTAATATTAAAATAATCATGACAAAAATAAGCTAAACAATAAAGCTAAATAAAACCAAACAAAACAGAGTTACAATAAATTTGACGTCAAGGCCAAACTAAAGTAGACTTGACAGCAAAGCTAAATTAAACCTTAAAGCACAAATAAATAATAAAATCAAATAAAAATAAAGTTAAAACTAGCACTATAGCACAGGTTCACAGTACAATGACAGTGAGTTGCAGTGTTTCACATCCAAACTGCTCTGTGCACTAAACTGCCCTTTAGGTGGTGGCTTCTTGGCGCTCCAAGCATACATTCAGCAGAGAGAGTGGGCGAGTGTTTGTATTGTTCCGACCTCCTGGTCACAGCTTAACGCCCCCACAATGTGGCTCTGGAACGAACAGTGTCCTCCTTCCACTTTTGTTCACTTGGTTCTTGGTTTGACCACAGAACCACAACAACCTCTGAGACACTGTGATTTTTTGTTTTAAAATACTTCTGTTTCCAAGATATGGGGCAAACTACACCCACAGTATAATTCAAAATCTTTCTCAAATGCAGCTTTTATTGTATCCCTTATTTTGTAGTGCCACAGGCTCAAGAAGCTTCACTCTTGTGATCTTCATTGCACAGCAACTTGGATAATTTTCAGACCTATTTTTAGAGACTACAACATGAAGTGTTTGCCAGCCTTAGCCATGCAGATCAATGTGCGTCCACTGGGCGGCAGCAGAGGATAGAGTCTCACTAGAACCAGGTGATTTGTCACTTACCGTCACACACAGCTACAAAACAGGTCACTGAAATGTCAGCTAAATAAGTATTTAGCCTATTTGTTTTCATTTCACAGTTTCATTCATGGTTGACCAAAGATGACAGTTTCTGGTGTGAAAACAGGAAGTAATTTCTTTGACGTGATCAACTGAAGATTTATGATGTTTTAATTAGAAAGCATGTTGCCAATGTACATATACATACAGGTATAAACCAGTAATGTACAGAATGTGATGGCTATTACATAAGTATCAATACAGCAACATACAAATAGTCTACTACAAGTCCGGTTCAGTATGTACCTTGGTTTTGAAGTCATGGTTCAGTTTTGGTACAGTAAGGGAAAAATACAAGCCATAAAATTACTTTCATGACTTGTTTTTTCAGAAGAAATAATTTTATGATACACAATATTCAAAGCCTCACAGTTCTGTGACCCCCTCCCATCTCCTGCACTACACAGTGGAAGCACAGTTCTTTTAGCACAAGACTGTTACATCCCCAGTGCAAGAAGGAGCGTTACCATAGGTCATTCTTCCCCACAGCTATCAGACTGTACAATACATCACTGTAGTGATAAGATAGGTGAAATTATGAGGGACTATGCAATAGTTAACTGAGGTGCAATACTCAGATCATGGGGATAAAATGCATTGTAAATATGCGAATGTGCAAAATCTTGTTCTTGATTTCTCTCAAATACATTATATTGTCTTGTTTTAGGTATTTTTGAGTAGTTTTTCAAATATCCTCATGGCTGAAATACAGGTATTTCCCCCATTGCAGGATTGATTATGGGAGTAATATTCTTGTCCTTGATTTCTTGATCTCTTGAATACTATATTTTGTCTTGTTCTTAGGTATTTTGACTAGTTCTCAGGGATTAGTTGTGGGAGGATCATTCTTGTTCTTGATTGTCTCTCAAATACTATATTCTGTGTGGTTTTAGGTACTTTGGAATTTGTTTCTCAAGATATGTGTGTGGTGTTTGTTCTTATGGTGTTTTGTTGCTGCTCTCTATTGCTAGAACACGGGAATTTCCCCATTGTGGGATCAGTAAAGTCCTACCTACCTTCTGTTACAGTTCCTGCCATTATTATCCATTTGGCCACATGCAGTGAGAGTCCTGCCTCACACTGGTCGTGCAGTTTTCATTTTCAGTTCATACTTTATATTTCCATGCTTTACAAACTATAACATTTGTAGTATTATTTTACAGATGCACCGTTTATCCGAGCTTTGAATTACTTTCAATTGTAGCACTTTGATTTTCATTAATGTGTTTATGCTTAAATTTCTCACTTCACATATATTATACTGTGCGTAATGCATTATCTAACCTTTTATCTAGTTTGGATTAAACATGGGGCCAGTTGGATTTGTCTGTGCAGCAGAGCAGCTGCAGCCTTGTAGAAGTGCACCGACTGCGCCGTGAGACTCCATCTGGTCTGAACGCAGCAGGAGGAAAACAGAAACGCATCCAGAGACAACAGAGAGACGGTGAATCGAGGAGCAGAGTGAGGAAACAGAGGAGAGGTTAATCAAGGGCAAGAAGAAAAAATGTATAAAGATGAGACAAAAGCTGCAGCTGTTGTTTAATCTTGATGCGTATTTCATAACCAAACAAGATGCAAACACTGAAATGGCATAAAAAATTAACTTTAATCTAGTTTTTGGTGACTAAACTTAACCAGGCTTTCAGAAGCAGAGATGTCAGCCAGTGACATATATCCATCAGCAGTAGAAGAAATACTCAGGTGCTTTACTAAGTAAAAGTAGCATTAAATACTTGCAAGTAAAAGACACAGAGTGTACAGACTTACTTGTAACAGAGTACTTCTACATTGTGATATTACTACTCAGACTTACAGTATCTGAGTATTTGAGTTGTCCTTCCACTGCTGACTAATACACCCTCACTGTCTGATATTACTTGAAGTTGGTGTTTTGGATGTTGCATAATACTGATCAACTATCTGTAAATGTTGCTGCAAACTGACAGGTCAACTAGTAAAGACGTAAATGAGCTAATTTTTGTGTTTGCACAGGAAGATAAAAGGTGAGTTCACAGCTGATTTCCTTCTCTGTGTTTACTCTGCAGGACACTGTGTGTGTGTGTGTGTGTGTGTGTGTGTGTGTGTGTGTGTGTGTGTGTGTCCTTGTTTACCCATACTTGTGGGGAGGTAACACTGGGAGCACACTGCTTTGCGGGGACCAGAAGTCACCTGTGGGGACCAGAGGCTGGGCCCCATGACTAATTCATCAAATTTTACAAAAATGACCGGGGGTAAGGTTAGAACAAGTGTCGGCTTTGGATAAGGTTATGATAAGTCTCCTGGAAATGAATAAGTCTAAGTACGGACCACCGGAGTGTGTGTGTGTGTGTGTGTGTGTGTGTGTGTGTGTGTGTGTGTTTGTGTGTGTGTGTGTGTGTGAGGTTAATATTTAGTGTCGAGCGTGAGAGGTATCTCAGTTGTGCTAGAGACAGAGAAACAGCAGCAGCAGAGTGTGAGCAGTACAGAGAGGAGAGTCTCACCGATACATTCAGACTTCATCTTCATCATCATCATTTTTACTGATGTCAGTTCTTCCTCTGTGGGTGAAAATGTTGCGGCAGGTCTGGAGGTTGAAGGCCGTCATCATCCTCGTCGGCAGCCCATTCATCCTGCTGCCACTTGCTGTCAGCACCACGGTGAGACCAGCTCAAGTCACCAGTTTACTGACTAGTCTAAGTTAGTGCTGCACTACACATGACCAGTTCACCTTGACAGTTTACTGGGTTGAAGTTGAGGCTTTGCTTAACACTGACAAGTTTAAAATGCTTTGTTCTAAACAGTAACCAGTTGAAATCACTAGTCTGTGGAGTTATTGAATTAAAATCCTTTACTGAGCTTTTATTAGTTTAGCGGTGTAAATACAACCAGTTCACTAATTTACTGAAAATGAACCACTTAAACCACCAACCAGGAACTTTAACTGATCACTGACCAGTTGAATTTAACACTTTACAGTTTACTTAACAGATCATCAATCGTGACCAGATTTAATAACCTGTTTGCCAAACAATAACCAGGTTACCAGTTGTCTGACCTGTTTAGTGTATGTTTAATGAGTTTAACTACTTCATTACACGTTTCCCCTGCACGGACCAGTTCAGGGCAGCATTAACCAGTTTAAATAATCAGTGTATTAAACACCAACCAGTTCAAGTGACCAGTTTATTGAGTACTGAGTTCAAATGACCAGTTCAAGCTGTTCCTACACTGAGTGCTCACCAGTTACCTTGCCCTTTTGTTGAGCACTAACCTAGTTTAACCACTTACATAAACCAGTTAATTAAAAGTATTCCAGTTCACCAAACCAGTAACTAATGAACTAACAATCCTTAACAACTGAACCAGTTCACGACTAACTAACCAGTAGCATCTGAACAGTTTGGTGATAACTTCCCATTTAAACCAGTCCATGTAGTTTGGACGGCGTCTCCGAGCAGGATGTTCACAGCTCCTGTCACTGATTCACAAACTGAATCTAGACAGTTTAAACATTCACCAGCACCAGTTACTGTCTGAAAAAACACGACGGCAAACTGCTCTCAGTAACTTATACAGTATTTCTCAGTCTCTTTGCTGTAATAATATTCTAATACTCTAAACACAATGTATCGGCCGTACCCTCAGTCCAGTCAGTTTATTAGGAACATCCAGCTCAGACTAACTCAGGTCTGGTGTTTTGTGTTCACGTCAACGGAGCTAAATCCCAGAAACAGGCGCTTGGTGGTGAAACAGCTGCCTCCATGTTGTTTTTATTCTGTGTAGAGCTGAATAAATTTGTCATTCAGATTAATTAACAGGTTTTTAAAACTGGCTTCAGAGATTTTCTGCTTTTCTCTGTTTTATATTATTCAAATGAAAATGGATCCAAAACAGTTTCATCAACCAGAATACTTCTTTAGTGTGTTTCTGCCTCATGTTGTTAATAAAACTCACATGACATGTCCTACGTGTAATAAATAATAAATGTCAGTGTGAAACATAAAAAGAAGCAGCTTCATGCCAAATCGTAACACCATTTGACGTTCATTATATTTGAATCCCAAACTAGTACTGTATTCCGATGCATTTAAAATTAGGTTAATAATCCATCTACTTGTGTTTTTTCTATTTTAAATACATGTGATTTTACTAAATGTGCTAAAAATGCATTTTAAATAATACCAAGTGAAAACTTGGTAGAATGTTTTGCAATATAATTTAAATCCAAGTCCGAGTGTTTCTGTCAGGCTCAAATAGTCGTGTACCTTCCTGGGTTAAGAATTAGCATAGTAAAAGTTTAGGTTCCCAGTAAAGTATTATGGTAGCTTTTCCCAGAAATCCACTCTAGGTGTGTTCGTCATCGCTGCAGGACAGTGTGCAAATCGGCCCAGGGCTTTGTCTTGAATGTTAATAAAAACAGTCCCCCCTGTTTTCCCCCTCAGTGGCCTCCCAGCAGCCACTGGGGCTCTGCAGCTGTTCTACAGTCCTGCCCGTGCTGTCAGGTAAACGGTGCGCTCAGTGTTCACATATGTCTCATTCAGAAATTCACACAGTGGTGACATGTCCAGAGCAACGAGGGGTCAGGATCGAACCCCCCGACCCTAACATTTAGGGGATGACCCGCTCCACCCCCTGAGTCACAGCTGCCTCATAAGTGTCGCCACACGCAGCACTGGATGTCTGCAGTGGTGAATACCTGAAACCAAGACCTCATGGTCTGAGACATCAGCAAGGCTGCAGAAGATGCTGCAAGGAGTCAGGTCACATTCCAGTTTTACATAGTCGTGCAAGAACTCAAGTTGTCAGCGGTATGTCAACACACTGAGCCTGTCCTCCCATGAAAAACAGCAGCATGGTATTCAGCATAGTTATTTATGTTAGAGTGTATGGAGTGACACCACCCTCACAGAAATAATTTCCAGCAAAGACGAGGAACGTTGTCGTAGAGCGAAAAAGTCAACTGGCATTGCAGGTCGGGGTGGGCTGATGGGTCGACAAACCGATGTCCGTTTCCTGTCCCGACTGACAGTCGGCATTCGTTTCATTAACCCTTAACCAACAGCGTTTCTATAAATATATCTAAATGATCATTTTTATTATCTACTGTTTCTAGCATGTGCTCAGATAAAAAGATTTATTTTTGACATGACAACATCATCTGTTGATATTGGCACCAGAGCAGAAACATTTTTCTGTGGAGAGAAATTAACCTGATCGTGTGTGTGCGTGTGTGTGTGTGTGTTTGTGTGTGTGTGTGTGTGTGTGTGTGTGTGGGTGGGTCTGTCTGTGTAGGAGGCGGCCTGTGCCTATGTTATCGCCCTCATGGCGGTGTACTGGTGCACTGAGGTGCTGCCACTGGCCGTGACGGCGCTGCTGCCAACCATCCTGTTCCCCGCCCTCGGCGTCATGGAGTCGAAAGACGTAAGACTGGACACACATTTAGATGTGATCAATATGTAATATACTGGGAAAATGGATTGCAAATACTGAGTGCATGCAAAGTGTAGCTCACTGGAAAAACCACCACAAGCCTCCCTTTGGCTGAGGTCACATGGTCATGTGTAGGCAACAAGAGACATTTTTCATTCAGTGGTAACAAAATCAAAGAGGCTTATTTTAGATGTACTGGGTATTATCCCAGTGGGGATGCACATCAAGACAAGTGCACTCTGAGAGCACCCATACCTTGGCCAAGGCACAACATTCGCTCACCCAAATGGGTCCCTTGTGAAAAATGAGATCCAGAACAACACAAAATGTGTCCTAAAATCCTTGATCCGGGTCGGATCCGGATCATCTTGTAGGGTCCAACAAGCAGGTAGAATGTGCATCTCACCTGAACATGTCAGGATTCTGTCTTCATTATAGGCCAGAAAATATGCCTTAAATGTTAATCTGAAATGGCCGTCAGATCCGGAAGCCAAATCAGATCTGTATGATGTTCGGTCTTTTATTGCCGCTGTACATATGTGTGGCAATTTTTAATTTGATTTCAATAACTTAAATGTAAATCTGATAATTTTTTTATTTGGCCCTATGTTAAATATGGGTTTTTTTGGATTTTTTTTGTGACCATGACATTTGCCCTGTTTCAGCTGAAATCAAATCACTTCTGGGGTTGGTCCCCACCAATGTCTGCACTGACTATGCTGATGATCCACCCAGCCATTTGTCTGTAATCCTGCTGACCAAACAGAAAACAGAACATCAGTTATTGCAAGTTTAATCTGATTAACTGCTCTGGAGATGTTTAGAGTGTAGTCATTTGACATAATTTTGTTTAACCCTTTTGTTTGTGCTGCTGTTCAGGTGTGTATGCAGTACCTGAAGGACACCAACATGCTGTTTGTCGGGGGGTTGATGGTGGCTGTGGCCGTGGAGCACTGGAACCTCCACAAACGCATCGCACTCCGCGTGTTGCTGCTGGTTGGGGTCCGACCCGCCCTGTGAGTCACCTGATCTTCTGCACCTACTGCAGAGTTTAGCGTAGGCTGTTTATCATGTCCTCCAACCTCAACAGCCATATATTGTAGGTCAGACACTCATCTTGTGGCTTTTCGATTTGTCATCCTGAGCTTTGGCATGCACAGTGGAGCTAAGCCCAGGTGCACCTATTTCCACTGCGCTGTAATGAAACACACTGTTTATCTTTCTCATCTTGATCATGTGGTGGTGGCCAAGCTGCTGACATATCAGAAGCGAAGCATAACTCGCAGTATTGGTGTGATGTAGCTTGCAGCATGAGACTTTGTTGCTAGGTCTCTTTTGTTAATGAGGGGCATCGTGTTGTCCTCTCCCTCTGTCTCCCAGCTTGATGCTGGGGTTCATGGGAGTGACAGCCTTCCTCTCCATGTGGATCAGCAACACAGCCACTACCGCCATGATGGTCCCCATCGTTCAGGCCGTTCTGGACCAGTTCCACAACAATGCAGGCCCTGAGGCTTCTTCCAAGAGCCAGAGTAGGAGTGTCGTTCTACACCAGGAGCATCCGGAGAAAACCATCGGCATCCAACAGACTGCGAGGCCAAATGTTCTCAAGAGAGGTACGATAGATAAGAACAGTACTGACCCACAAAGGTCAGGTAAACCAGCCTGGTGCTGGAAGAACTTCTATACTGGTGCAGAAAGTAGCAAGACCTTTATATCAGAGAGGATGTGGAGGTTGGGGTGATGAATGGGCTTTAACTACATCAGACAGTCATGCAAGAGACCCGAGTTTGTGTTCTGTCACTGCCTGCAGTGCCTGCAATTCATGTTGACCTTTGTGCAAGGTGAAACACAGGACTCTATGCAAAATAAGTAAATTTGTCAGTTTTTCTGCTGTCTGTGTCATTGATGTGTGTTTCCTCCCAGGTGAGAGTGGGCAGATCAAGACATGGGACAACTCTGAGACAACTTGCAAACTGCAAGACAACATGCCCCCTGAGAAGAGAGTTTTGTCAGAGGCTCAGCTGCACAGACTGGAGCTTGTCAGACCAACGCTGCAGGACAAAGCCACACTGGACAGCACCGACAGCGGGCCCAGTGAGTCCACAGGGGAGACACACTGCAGCAACTAAAAACTCACCTTCCTGGCAGCCATTAGTTTCTCTTTACTGACAAAATACCAACTATGTGTGTTGCAGTGGTGGAGCACATCTGCTGCCAGATGGAGTTGGGGGAGATAAGTAAGGAGGAGGAGGAAGAGAGGAGGAGAATGAGTAAAGGACTTCTCCTGTGTGTATGCTACGCTGCTAGCATCGGGGGCACCGCTACTCTAACAGGAACTGGACCAAACCTGGTCCTCATCGGACAGATGAGCCAGTAAGTGCTGATACACAGAGGCAGGTGCTCTTCCTCAGGATGAACCAGAAAGAACATCCAGGGTGTTATATTTATTGTGATT